TTCCCGTATTTTATCCCGCTTTGCCCTGCGCAAAACACACGAAGGATTGTCCGGAGGACAGTGGGGGCCTTTATACCCCTGAACATGTTATCGCCACTCAGCTATGACAGTGGGGGCCTTTATACCCCTGAACATGTTCTGGCTGCTCAGCTATTTTCCCACCCCCCGGCTTTGATGTGCTTCCAGCCCGGGCGTCCATCCCCAGGGAGCCCTCGGGTGACCCGTGGAGATGTCACGGGAGCCACCAAGGACCCCAAGCCCCTGCTTTTGGAGGTGGGATGCGGTGTATTCGTGGGCCAGGTGCCACGGGCAGGACGAGGATGCTGCGATAAGACACTGGTTGTACAAAAACCTGGATGGAAAGCATCACCCCCCAAGGAAAACCAGGCACAGCATCACGGAGGGGAGGTCCCGCCCCTCCGCAGGGAAAGCAAAAATCAGCTTAAATTAGCAAAGTGCCCAATTAGGCACAAGCCAGCTCCGAATTCACGGAAAACAGGAGAAAATAAGGGAGAGCCCAGCTTTGAGGGGCAATAAGAGGAGGATGCTGGTGGCGTTTCAGCCTTGGGAAGAGCCCTGCAGGGGGACCAAGTGGTGGCTGCAAGCAGGAGATGCTGGGTGCAACCCTGCTGCACGGGACATCTGGGCTTTTCCATGGTTTTAGCCTTAAATTAAGCAATTTCAAGGCCACATCCCCTCCTTCGAGAGCGACACATGGCAAAAGACTCGAGATATCCAGCTAGCACCTGCCCAGGAGGGCAAAAACCGTTCAGCACGGGGGAGAATCTCCTGCCTGGACCACGCCGCAGAAATTGCTTCGACCCAGCGAAGGAGTCACTTGCATGGGACCAGCCCAGCTTTGGAAGAGGGGAGAACAAAGAGACGATTTTAGAAAGATGCCCATGATCGGAAATATTTTAATATCACTGAGTCACAATTTTTAGTACAAACAATCAGCAAAAGAATTTAAAAACCCCAACCGGTCCCATTCCCACGGCCATGCATCCCATAGAAAAGTTAATGCAATTTTATATTGAAAGAATAAAAACATTCTTCTACACAACGCTGTGCTCTTGATAGAAAAACACCTTTCTGATTCTTTTTTTTTTTTTTTTTTAAAAGCACGAGTTTCCTTTTCAATCCTCACTGCAGTAGCTTTTGGTGTGTATTTTTGGAGGGGAACCCCATAAGTTGGATTCAGCCAACCAAGCACCTGACGGGTGAAGACAGGCTATAAGCACTGCTCTCCCCTGATGGGTGAAGAAGACATTTTTACAGGGGGTCTGCAATTTAAAAGAGAAAGAGGGCTGTTAGTCCTGTGTCAGAGAGAGAAATCTTCCACCCCCAGGG